GGTAAGTCTATTCTAATGGCTGTACCCAGAGAAATTTAAAGGCAAGCTGGCATGGAAGAAGCAAATTACCTTGCATTACGCGTTACCGCTAACGACACTCGATGTTGCGGAAACAAACAACGTTCGTGGAACCTTTCTCGAATCGAAAGACCGTTCCGATAACGGTCAAGTGTAATTCAGAGCTCTCCTCCAGAAAGATATTCCGGATGGCTTTCACTTGGCTGACCAACGTAACGGGTTGCCGATTACGCTCGTTTCTCGCTGGTAACGGTAGATTTTTCGATCGGAATCTGGATCGAGATCACGTCCGATCCGGTTGAAAAGTGAAATTGAGAAGAAAGAGCGAATGTATGCTACTTATGCATTCTACCAAAGCGATCGTTCGTTATCGTTGGAAAGTATCTGGTTATGATGTACAAAATATCTTTGACAGAGTATATTTAGAAATTAGAAATGTAAAAATCTTATTTGCAATAGATTCATTCTCGTAAAATTATTAATTTTGAAAAATCTAGGAAGTGATAAAAGGAAAGAATTATTAATAATTATTCTAACATCTATTAATTATCTATATACTTAACTCTTTATCTAATTATCTATCTATGTAATTATCGGATACAAAAAAGAAATTTTTTCTGAAGAACAAAGTTCTTGTAAAATCTAAATTAACGATAAGTCTATCGGTATGTGGAATTTCGATTTGGAAGAAGGAAGAAAAAAAAAGGTTTCTTAAAAATAATCGGAAATCATACAGATATGGATGGATTCGGGTTGTTTATATGGACAGTGTAATAACGTAGTAACGATATTTTATCAGAAGAAAGAACGTTGAAATATTCGCGGTGCAATCGCAACACTCCGCATTCCAGGCAGAAAATTACGGTACTATAAATCAGAAAATGTTGCGGTGTACCAAACGCCGATATCGTCGATACGCGAAACCAATTTTAATATTCCGCCGAAAAACACGATTATTGACCAACCTTTTTTCCCTTTATTTCGTTAACAAAGAAGTATTAAAAAAAAGAAAAAAGAAAAAAAAGATCTAACAAGTTATCGACGAAAGTTCGGTTAATATTTTCGTGCGTTTCTTCTCCATGTTTCTAAATAATTTGAACGAAGCCTGTTGAACGTTGAAAATTTTTATGCAACGATTATTTTAATCCTCGATGGGCGAAATAACCCAGATAAAACGAAAAAATTCCACGTGAGATTTTTCACGCGTATCGAAATTTTGGAATTTTTTTTCCCCCCAATTTTTTAAATTTTACTGAAAAATAAATAACATTGAATCAATTTTTAATCAACTTTGACACTCGATCATAATCGAAACCGGTTTGAAATGTTCTCGCGATTCGCGCGAGAAAATTTACGTTGTGTTTGCCAATTTGTCAGCAAATTACGATCGAAACGATCGACTTGACGTCGAAACGCGTCAAAAATAAATTCACGCAAGATTTATTCACAGATTTATTCACCGATTGCTTGAAAGACGAACACATTAGTAACCAGAGACTTGAACACGTGGGTTCATTCACGAGGCAGTAAACACATCAGTCAATCTTTCGTACCGTATTAATGTGTACGGGATAAAACGATCTCGAATGCAAATTTAATGCAGATTAATGCAAATTTTGCGATGTCATCTTATCAAACCGCGTGAAACACGGTTACAATACATTCAGGATTTTCAGGATATTCAGGATTTTCGAAAATATATGAAATGGAAGGCATTGAGAAAATTTTCCAATTCCGATTATATCCAATTTTAAAACAGAAAATAATATCTTGCTATATCGAAATGAATATATAGTATTGTTACGAGTCTATCGGTTCATTAATTAACGCCAAAGAAATTTCGAAAATAAAATAATCGATTAATGGAATTAATCATCAGTCAGTCGTTTAATTAATATCAATCATCGATTAATAACACTGATCATCAATCATTTATTTTTAATCGAAATTTAAATCAAGTTCTATTTGATATATTTAATTAAAGGTTTATTTAAACGTTCATTATATATGATTTACTGTTAACGTTGATTGGAGCTAAAATCAGAACTAAAGGATCGGAGCTAAAATACTAATTTTCCGATAAAGATACTTTAATTAACGACTGAATAAATAAATTACATTCATTATCGATCAAATAAAAATTTAACTGTTAATCATGATCGTTATCATTTAATCGCAAATTTGCATTAAAAAAATTGTACGTTAAAACATTGAATTAAACGGTGCGCAATATCGATAACGCTTTGCCGTGTCAACATTTTTGAAATACGCGAAAGAAGAATATTTGCCACGTTATTTCCTGTTAATGAGACTTTTTATGATGACGTTCAAATGTTAATCTGCCACAGTTCTTTCCAAGTATCGTAGCTAATGACTCGCGGAAATCATCGGATCGTGAAACATGGAATATCGCGATTTATCTATATTTATCCATATAATATTTGTTACCAAAGAGATAGAACAGTGTTGGAAATCACTTTCACTCTCTTTTCTGCTTATACGTATCCTATTGTTTCATCTAATCTAATTAATGTGTTTACGAGAAAAAATAATATAAAATAAAAACGAGTTGGAGACGAGAAATCGAAAAAAAATTGCTTTCGATTGTTAAACGAGGCTTTATCCCAGTTAATTGGAAATTTAGAAAAAATACAGGATTGAAGAATCTTTAATAAAAGCAATAATTAGCTCTTATTTATATAGTGCTATTAATTGTGCTAATTAATGTCACATCGAACGACTTCAATTAACATATTATGTATAATTAAAAAAAAATTCTGTTAGAACCTGTTAGTGAATATTAATATATATATATTAAAACAATTTACATAAAATAATTACTATAATAATGAATATCGTACAAGGCTTGAAGATATGATGCAATCTTGTACAAGATCTAATTCTCCGATGAAACGATAAATAATAAAAAGAAGATATCAGATATGCATTAAACTAAAATAGTGACAAAGTGATTAGAAATATTATAAATATTGAAAGAAGAAAGAAATATTACAAATAAGAAAGAAAAATTAATGCTAAAACAAAGATAATATTATAACATATGGAACATGTATAAAAATTCATAAATATTTACGAACGTATTCAATATTAGAAAAAAATCTGACCGTCTATGTTTCATCATCGCGTTCTTGGAACGAATTATTGAAATTGTTTACAAAGTCACATAAACGATCGTAAGTAGCTAATAAGTAACTAATAACAATAAGATGTTATTTATCTGTATATGTATATATGTACGTTATTCACCGCGTGTTAACCATTTGTTACATTTAGCATTACGCTAACTTGAACTCGTTCAATTTCCGAGTTCCGCATGACACGTGAACAGATCACGTGATAAACTAGATTCAAATGGAATTGGTACAAGTGACGACGCAAAAGACGTTTATTATATCGCGAAATAATTGAGACAATGTTATGAATATCTATATCTATATCTATATAAGATCGCGTTTAATAACTGGATGAACATGATATCGAAAAATTCGAGTCGAAAATCGCATTTTCGTTGTTGCAAAATCACTTCTGGAATCCATTAATAAAATATCGATATACATCGCGCGAAAACGAAAGGAACATGGAACGAGAATACTACGCAAGCTATGCAAAAAAAAGCACCCTTCGAATTTCTACTGCCTATTATTCGATAATGATATGCAATTGAGATTAAAGTAATTGTCATGTTATCAGTTTCATCGCGTGCAAATCAAATCGTAGAAATTCGAGCAACGTATATTGTCAAGGGGGAACGTTATTGCATACCTTTCGTGGCGTGGGGCTGCGCACGATCATCGAAATTCGCGCACATGGCGGCCAAGCTCGCGCATCGGAATTATATTCACAATAAAAGATGATTTATTGACATACCTTTGTGTCTCGCGATGTGTGATAGTAGTAAACAAAGGCAGACATCCACGCGCATGACAGCAGCAACACAATTTTCACATTTCGCCGCATCTCTGTCGAGTATCTTGTCAATCTTGCCCCACGTCCTCGTCGTCCCGTTGACAATCTTGTTACACCACGTACGTCCACGTTTCACGTGCAGTGTTTCGTTCGCAAAAAACGGAGCACGCACACCCGCCGCCAACTATGCACTGTAGCACCGTGAACAAACACCACTAACGCGAACGAACCGGCAGCCGAAGCCATACTGTCCGGCTTCGACGAGAACGGCGGCTATGCGGTCACTCCGAATGCTGCGCAACTTCTGAATCCCCACACCAGGCGGCGCTGCGAACACGGCTGTAACGCCCACTATCTTTATTGGCGCTAAATTTTAAATTGCATATGATAGCTTATAAATTTTCAATTCGGTTTTATGCTGATCTCTCTATGCAAAACGACGTAATTATTGAATATACAGGTAAAAATAATCGTATAATAAAAAAATAATATTCATTTTCGTTAACATAACGGATCAAAAAAGAAATAATTTCTAAAAATAATGTGATATTTTGTATCTATATGACGAAATTATTAAAGTTCATTATCGTAAGATAGATGAACATAATATAGATCTTAAAAAGATGAAGAATTTATACTACATAATTTTAAAATTTTTAACATTCTATATTTCATTATAATATATAATTAAATTAATTAAACTCTATAAATATTGTTTGATCAATAATGTTCCAGATTCTGATTTATATTTCTCAAATAAAATTAGAATTTATAATTATTTTAATCTTGTCTGAAGAAGTTGAAACGCGATATTTTTTAATTCTAATTAAAAAAGTTTATATTTTAAATAACGTTTAAATAATGTTTTAAGATAAAAAAGAAAAAGTTTTAAACGAAGCATCGGCATATTAAACATAAATTGAACTTAACTTAAATCCTTCGATTAACTCTAAGCGGAATCTTTTATAAATATTAATTATAAAAGAATACAATATACTTTATGAAACGTATTGCTTACGTGTAGTAAAAATGTGAGAATAGACGTGTAACCGATATTGGGTGGATATCGATAAGTATATACAGAAATACGCCCACTTTTACTCGAAGATAGGCCTGGTTTCTGATCATTCGATGCAGTTCATCTCAGGAAAGATCGTGTGTAACATTCGGCAGGAGATGTTTCAATAAAATTTCGATCTATTGTGACGATATGGCAACGAGATCGCAATGGTTGTTGTTGACTTGGTTGGGATTCTGCACGGCATGGATGGACGAAAGGTATGGAGAACGCAATTTCCGTCAGATACAATCTTGTAACCAAAGAAAAAGAAACTTTGTGACCGTGCAACATTGCATAAACGTAATTTTTAACACATCCCAGGCCTGTGCTAGAGTCTCGAGACGGAAATCTGTTCATTTCCGCGGCGAAGGACAGGAACATCACCCTGAAGACTCTAGGGAATGGTTACGTGAACGTGAACGAAATTAATTTGCTTCACGTTGCTATCGCTGTAAATAAGAAAATAATATTTTCTTCAAAAATTTGAAAATTGCTCGAACGATTTACGCTTTGATGGTGTAAATTTTGGTTCATTTTTAGGCGCAAAGCGCGACGCGTTTGATCGAGAGATGGAAAACCGGATATCTGGCGGACGTGGAATCGAATTTACAACGTTTGACACAAATTGTAGAGGGTCCGGACGGTTTAGAGAAAAGAATAGCTACGATGAGAGGATTTGAAGGGAACAGTACGCAATCGGAAATTCTTTCGATGAATCAAGTAAGCATCTTCGAGACGAGAAACCAATTTTTAAAACTTAATACGACTATAATGGTTCGACTAATTACTTACAGACTGCACTAATGGTAAATATGAGGATACGGATGCTACTTCATCGAGTATGTATAAGAATTTTAATAAACTATGCATGTAATTAATAGAATGCATCTATAAAAATCGTTGAGATGTTTCTAGATGCTACAAGTGGAGAATAAAGTAAAATCTATAGAATGGAAACTGAGGATAAATGAATGCGCTAGTAATCCTTGTATGAATGGTGGAACGTGTTATGATCTTTACGAAGGATACGAGTGCCACTGTCCATCAAATTGGGAGGTGAATATTTATAAGAATTGAGGTTTCTAGCTTTTCCTTTGATATAAATATATAAATATACGATGATATACTAGGGACCAAATTGTATGGTGGACGTAAACGAATGCGTTCGATTGCTAGGAACAGATCTCGGATGTCAAAATGGAGCCACTTGTCGTAATCTTCCAGGATCGTACAAGTAAATTTTCTTATTAATTCTTCTTCCGAAAATCAATGATATTTGATGTTTATCAATTATTTATCTTCAGATGTGAGTGCGCGGCAGGATGGTACGGTCTCCATTGCAAGAAAAAGTCTTCCGTTTGCAACACTCAAAATTCCAACGAGCTTTGCGGCCACGGTGTATGCGTGAGCAAGCTTGGAACACCGCTCGGTTACACCTGCATTTGCGATCAAGTGCGTAACAACGAATCGCTCGACACCAACGATTCCCTTCTTCAACAACCCATTATTTTCCCAGGGATGGCAGTCAGAAGGTACTAATCCAGCTTGCATCAAGGACGTGGACGAATGCGCTGGAAATCATAGACCGTGCTCCGTGAATCCCTGGGTTGCTTGTCGAAATGCGCCTGGAACATTCTTCTGCGATTCCTGTCCTCGAGGCTACACAGGAAACGGGTACTATTGCGCCGACGTAGACGAGTGTCAGGTGAACAACGGAGGCTGCAGCACGTCCCCTCTCGTCCAATGCATCAATACCATGGTAATTTAAATCCTATTCGATCTCGAGATTTCTTCGAACTTCCCTATGACAGAATCGCAATGATCGTTGACAGGGTTCGAGAATGTGCGGCGCCTGTCCCACGGGATACCGTGGGGACGGTGTGACATGTGTCTACGTAGGTAGTTGCGCGATCAACAACGGAGGTTGCCATCCATTAGCCACGTGCGTCGAGAATTCAGCACTTACGAGCGCCTACGTGATCTGTCGATGCCCACACGGCACAACGGGCGATGGAATCGGACCCAACGGTTGTCGAGCATCGACCGAGGCGTCTCCCTGCTCCAGTAATCCCTGCGTGCACGGCAAGTGTGCCGCCGTTTTGGGCACCTACTCTTGCACGTGCGATCCTGGATACACCGGTGGGCACACACTTTGAACGATCAACGATCTTTGATTAACTTCGATCAACGATACATCTCAACGATTATCGTAGGGGCAACGTGCAACGTGAAAATCGACCCGTGCTCCCCGAATCCTTGCAAGAACAACGGTGTCTGCGCGATTTCGAACGGCGTGGTGACCTGCGATTGTCCGTCTACGTACACCGGCACCAGATGCGAAACCCCGCGACAGACATGCGGCGGTGTGTCGCGTAATCCCGTGGGACATCTCGAATTCCCGATAGGCGGGAACGTTTATCAGCACGGGCTGAGCTGTGCCTGGGTTCTCATCACAAACAGCTCCCTCGTGTTGAACGTCACGTTCACCCGCTTCAATCTGGAGCACTCGACCGACTGCAAGTACGACTTTCTACAGGTAAAACTCGATCCCTTCTTTTCTTCCTTGTCGAATTCTTCTTCTGATTCGACTCGAACGGATTTCATAGATACACGATGGTAGGAACGCCGGCAGTCAGATGATCGGCAGATTTTGCGGCCAAGAGTTCCCCTACGAGAATAAAAATATAGTGTCCTCTCACAACTCTCTCTACTTTTGGTTCCACTCCGATAACAGCGTGTCCTACGACGGATTCGCGTTTGAATGGAACAGCGTCAAGCCCATTTGCGGAGGTAGTTTGACGAACGATTACGGGACGATCAGCTCCCCTGGATCACCGGGAAGGTATCCGCCGAACAGGGACTGTTATTGGCAGATTACCGTTAAATCCGGAAAGAGAATACAGATCCATTTCGGCCAATTGATGCTGGAGGAGCATCCAACGTGCGGAGCCGATTTCCTCGAGGCAAGCGTGCCCCTGTCTTTCAATCCGTCAAAGCGAAGAACAGAAGATATATATATATATGTATATGTTGAACTTTGCAGATCAGCACTATACACAGGGAACGATTGGGACTTTACTGCAATCACTCGCATCCAGCTCCTCTCATCGTACCCGCCTCCAGCGTCGTGATCTATTTCCACTCTGACAGTGCTGGCCAAGACTCAGGCTTCCAAATTCACTACTCCGCCATCCAAGGTGAAGAATCCGACGAACGCATTCCTTTCGCTCTCAGTTCTCTAAAATTATAGGTTTCTCTTTCGTCCAGGTCGTCCAGGTTGCAACGAAGTGTACACTTCTCCCACTGGTATCATAAGAAGCCCTACGTCCGCTGAGCAGTGGGAAGATTTGGAATGCGAATGGAAGATTCAATTATCCGTTGGAAAACGAATACAAATTTACTGGACCACGTTCGAGCTTTTGAAGAACAACTGTCATATGGAATACGTCGAGGTTGCATCCTTTCAATATCCATTCCTCGTCTTCGTGAAAATATCTTAACGATATTGTTATTCTCGATTTAGATTTACGACGGCGAAACGAGCGAATCTCCATTGATACAACGATACTGCGGTAATTCGATTCCACCCTCAATCACATCGAACTCGAACGTATTGTTGATAATCTTCAAGTCGTACGCGTATCAAATAGGCGCATTCTCACTTTCGTACAAAACGATATGCGGCAAGATATTCACCGACGTGTCAGGCGTCATTCAATCGCCTACGTATCCCCTCTTGGAAATTGCGAAGCAGGTGTGCACCTACGAGATCAGGCAACCGCCGAACAGGAAAATCGTGTTGAAAATATTAGACGTAGATATCAACAATTCGTTGAAGAAAAAGTGCATTTTCAATTATCTCGATGTGTTCGATGGACCGAACGAGAACTCCACCCGTCTCGCCAATCTTTGCAAAACTACCGTTGACTTGACGTACTATTCGACGCACAACGTAATGACGCTTAAGTACTCGGGTGCAACGGGGAAACGCGGTTTCATGGCGAATTACACCACGACTGAGATAGGTGAGCAAAACTTTGTTCACACAGAAATTTATTACGAAGAATCGTAAAGCTCGAATGAAACTCGATCATTTAAACTCTTACTCTTGTTTGAGAGCAAATATAAAGATTAATACGAATTCAGTTTGGAAAGATCATCGAGAGATATTTTAATCTCTCGATTTATTTATTTCGAAAGGATGCGGAGGATTGTTCACGGAGCGTAGCGGGACGATTCAATCACCGAGCAGCGAAGGCCGTTACAAAAACAATGAAAACTGCATCTGGACTGTACAAGCGCCGATAGGACACGTGATCCACCTTAGCTGGTTATCCTTCAATCTGGAAAGTAATCGTAACTGCCTACACGACTACGTGAAGTTATACGAAAGCTTCATGTCGTCCAATCAGCAGATAATAGGAACGTATGTACGAAACGTTTGCTTTCGAGAGTATATAAATGAATTTTGAATAAAACCATACATTATGTTCTTGTCCATCGATTTATCAGATTCTGCGGCGCGAAACATCCACCGACCATAATATCACAAGTGAACGATATGACGTTGATCTTTCATTCCGACTCGTCGATCATTAACGAGGGATTCATCGCGTCGTACATGTTCGTCGACGCGAGCAAAGTTTGCGGCGGTCATTTCGTTAAACCGATAGGTGTCATCAAGTCGCCCAATTATCCCAAACGTTATCCACGCGGGAAGGAATGCGTGTGGGTGATTGAAGCGGCGAACAAGCAAAGGGTGATAATCAACGTGGAAAAATTCATCCTGGAGAGACACGCGACTTGCGATACGGACTATTTGGAAATCAGGTGAGCGTCAAATTATCTTAGAGGAAAAAAAAAAAAAAAAAAAAAAAACAATCGAGAGAAAAGAAAAATCGTTACAAGAATTTTCCGTTTAAAAGAAATGGCGGCTACGAAACCTCTCCGTTAATCGGCAAATTCTGTGGAATCGATATCCCCTCGGAGATCATAAGCCAGACAAATCAATTGTACCTGAAATTCGTGAGCCGTTCGAGTTATCCCGGATTCAGCATAAGATGGGACAGCACGACAATAGGCAAGAATCGATCGATCGTCTTCTTCGTCTTTTCATCCTGATTCTTGCCGAGATTTGAACGAGAATTTTTTTTTTTTTTTTTCCAATGTTTCAGGATGCGGTGGAGCTTTGACAGCCGCCCAAGGCGATATCATATCTCCGAATTATCCGATGCCGTACATGAATCAGGCGGAATGCTATTGGAAGATAGCCGTTGCCGAGGGCAGTTTGGTACGATTGATAATACTGGACCTTGAATTGGAGCATCACAACAAGTGTAGATACGACTACATCGAGATATCGGAGGGGATGAACCATCGGAACAACGAAAGATTTTGCGGCAAATCTAACGCGAAAATCATTCAGACAACGTCCAACATAGTGAACATAAAATTCCACAGTGATTTTACGAATTCCGGCCGCGGTTTTCATCTCAAGTACGAAACACGTGAGTCGATTCCCTCGACAATCATATTAAAGTTTACTCTTTAAAGGTGAATTCTTGATTGTATACTTGCATCCAATCGAAACTCGATAGAAATTGTCTCCTTTTGAATAGTTAATTCGACATTTTGTCGATTATCGTCCTTACCTTTGAATTCCATCAATTTATTAATAATTAATTAAATACGTACGAACGAACGTATTTCATATTTGGAAAACGTTTACTTCACAGTGTGCCAGAATATCACGATACACAATTACTACGGAATAATAGAATCGCCAAATTTCCCGTACAAGTACGAGCACAATCTGAACTGCAGCTGGATGATCGACGCCCCCATAGGTAACAAGATCAATCTGACATTCTCCCATTTCGACGTCGAGGATTTGGGCAGGAATAACAGCTGCGAATACGATTATCTGGAGATATCCGAGGGTATGGATAGAACACCGTCGAAACGGCTCGCGAAACTGTGCGATTCAAACGTGCTCCCTGCAAAAATTCATTCGTCCCAACACCAAGTGTTCTTGAAGTTCATCACCGACTCTTTTATCGCTTTCAACGGGTTTCGGCTCGAGTGGATGGTCGATGGTTGCGGTGGACATCTGACCAGACCCTTCGACACGTTCACATCGCCCGGATATCCGTCTGCGTATCCGACGAACATCGAATGCGAGTGGTTGATCGAGGTCGATTACGGGCACAGCATCGAACTGACTCTTCACGATGTTGGTACCTCTTCTCAACTAATGTATACCTGTTTTCTCGCGACAAATTTAACCGTAATAATCGTATTAATCGTTTTCTTTCAGATAAAGATCGAGAAAAAGGTAAAGTGCTATTTCGACAAATTGCAAATTTACGGGGGCGAGAACGAGCAGGCACCGTTGCTGGTCGAAATCTGCTATTCGTCCAAACCTGTAGTGTACACCAGCTTCGGGAACACGATGTTCGTGAAATTCCTGTCCGATATAATCTACGTGTCGCGTGGATTCAACGCCAGTTACAAAACCGTCCCCATCACTTGCGGTGGAAGATTTACCAGCGATTCCGGGATCGTGCACTCGGCCAATTATCCTCAGAATTATCCGAACAAGCAAAATTGCAAGTGGTTGTTCCAAGTCGATCAAAATTACGTCGTTAATATCACTTTCTTGGACTTCGATATCGAGAACACCGAGAATTGTACCGACGATTACGTCAGGGTTTGTGTTATAACAGTTATCCAATCATTTATCGATGAAATTACGACGAACGAATGGGTTTCTAATTATGTTGGATCCTCTTTGCTATAGATATACGACGGGCCAACGACTGACTCGCCAATATTGGGAACGCATTGTCGAAATCAATTGCCGCCTTCTTACGTATCGACCAGCAACGAAATGTTACTAGTGATGAGGACGGATTCTTTGATTTCGGCAAAAGGGTTCAAAGCGCAATACCGGAAAGCCTGTGGTGCTCGTATCATTGTGAAGGATCAAGGTTACATAGTTCCATACGAAAGTTACATCGGCAATTCGGATTACAGCGACAATTGTACGTGGACATTGATCGCCGAGAATCTAGGTACGTATCTTCGAATACGTCGATTAAATACGATAAATTTATTTGGAATGGATAAAGCTTTTATAAATAATTAATCTTTCTAATTAATTATTTTCCTTCCCTATAGACGATCACGTTACCGTGACGTTCACTTATATGGATTATTCCGAGGAATTAAATTATTTCTCATTTCTGAGCAACGATTGCTTCAACTACATAGAGGTTTTCGATGGTGTGGACACGACTGGACCGTCTCGAGGCAAATGGTGCAATAAAAACGTACCATTGCCGATAACTAGCAACGGAAACGCTCTCACTGTGCATCTGTACAAATTTCACGAGAACTTCATACACTTCTCTCTCACATATTCCGTGTTAAATTCAGGTGAATAGACATTTTAACAATCGTAACATATTGTCGAAATTTATGATATTAAAGAATCATATTTGGATAAAATTATTATTCCTTCAACTTTGATGACTTTTTGGATACGTTACGTCTTAATTAACTTGCTTAAAAGATCAATAAATTTCATCTCTTAATTTAAATCCGACATAGATAATTTCTCTCGTAAGATGAAAACTTGTAAGAAAGATACAATTTATCATCGAAATTAAACGAATTAAATATACGAGATTAATTATAATAACAACACGATTCTTTCTTCGATATAACACGATATTCTTCGACTCAAAAATCGTATAATTTCAATTATTTTCGAACGCAGCATGCGGCGGAAATTACACCGCGTATCACGGAGTAATCGCGTCGCCAAACTATCCGAACGCCTATCCCTTGAACTCGGAGTGCATCTGGATCCTGGAGAACTCGCCCGGAAACAAGATCAGCCTGACTTTCAGCCAGTTCAACCTGCAACAGAGCGAGGATTGCAATCTGGATTACGTGGAGATTCGAGAGGAGAGCGGGATCGGGAAATTGATCAGCATCTCCTGCGGGACGAGCGCGGAACCGGTCAAATCTTCCAAACCGCTCTGGATCAAGTTCAAGAGCGACGGCGATGACGTGGCCACGGGATTCCAGGCTGAATTCAGCGTGACGGGTGGGGACGAGTTGAGTGGACCCTCGGGCAAGGTCACCTCTCCCTTTTATCCGATTCCGTACAAGGGAAGGGACACCCTCTCGTGGAGGATCACCGTCGAATTTCAATGGGCGATTCGAATCCAGTTTACCGATATATTTATCGAGAACAGCGACACTTATTGTTTCTCCTACATCAGGGTGAGTGAATATAATTTTTGAAGGAAGGATTTAGAGTAGAGAATAATAGAGTGTGGTGCTTATCGATCGTTCATTTCGCGAGCAGGTGTACGACGGTTACGACAGCAATGCTCCAATTCTGTTGGAAGTATGCGATCTTGACATCCCGGATCCCATCACATCCTCCACCAACGTGATCTACATCGACTTCTCGGTCGATATTATCCGAGAGGGTAGTTGGTTCGAATTAAATTGGATTCAGGTACCGATCATCAACGATGACAACGGCGAGAACATATTCAAGAAACGTAAGTTGGATGTATTTCTTTAGTATTGGATGAAAGAAAAAAAAAAAAAAAGAAATGTTGTTTTATTCAAGCTCCATTCCTTTAAAAGAAACCGTGAGAAATTGTTGAAAATAAATCGTAACTAATTATGAACGATTCTAATCGAATCGTACTTTTGGAAACAGTATCGGAGTGCAACATGATAGTAGAAGTGCAGAACTACACCTACGATTTCACTTCGCCTGGCTGGCCCTACGGTTACGACGCGTTCCTTCGCTGTAACTGGGTTTTCCTCTCTCCACCCGGAACTCACTTGAAACTCAGAATTTTAGCTATGGACTTGGAGGAAACGGCCGAATGCACGGACGACTTCGTCGCTGTTTATTCCGGCAACGCTCTGACGGACGAAAGCAATGCTAATTTGTTGCGGAAATTGTGCCTGGCGAATTCCACGTCGGTCGATGTTGAGGTGGACAACGTGATGACGGTTAAATTCGAAACGGATGGGTATAGGAATAACACGGGTTTCAGCGCGTTCGTCTCTAAAGGTAAAATTGTTTTTTTTTTTTTTTTCATTCGAGATATTAGATCGTTCGTTGATCTTATTGTACAGAGTGTGGTGGCAAGATGAAAGGTCCAAACGGAGTGATCGAGGTGAATGAGACTACTTGGCCGAAAAGATGGTTGAGACGATTGCAATACAAGGTGAACTGTGAATGGGTCGTCAAAGTGAGACCTGGACGGACGATAGAAGCGGAGATCGTCACGATGTCGATACAAAAAGGACCCAATTGGACTTGTACTAATAATTATCTAATGGTAACGATATAATAAATAATCAATATCTTTTATTTCTTACTTAATCTCTTTATTTATTCTTGCAGTTGAAGAATGGCGGTGACTCTTCCTCACCTTTGCTTGGCTCCGGTAAATATTGCGGCGACGTAACTCCAAGCAGCCTCAAAACTATAGGAAATCTCTTGTACGTGAAGACGGAAGGTTTTCGTGATAATATCAACTTTAAACTAACTTACAGGTGATGATAATAGGTTCTTTTATCGAAAAACTCGAATGCGAGATATATTTAAATAAAATTCTGGATGAATGATCCAGAGAGGTGAGCATGAATTGTGGGGGCGAGTTCCATTTATCGGACAAACAGAAGGAATGGGAGATCAGCACGCCGAATTATCCCAACATTCCTCCCCCGTATTCCGAGTGCATATGGACCGCGATGGCGCCAGGCAAGGAGAGGATATTCATCCATTTCGTCGAAAGATTCGATCTGAGCAACACCATTAAGTAAGTTTTCGAACAGTTTTTGAAACAAAGTGAATCGAGTCGAGCTCCTCTCGAGTTTCTCCAGAGGTAACGAAGAGAACGAATTTCAGCTGCGAGAAAGAGTACGTTGAAATAAGAGATGGTGGAACGGAGAAATCCAATCTGCTCGGAAGATTTTGCAAAGACGTGGCGCCTAGCAGCATGATGAGTACAGGGAATATGATGCGCATCCACTACTTCTCTGATTTCTCCGAGCCGAAAAATGGCTTCAAAGCTCTGTTATCCATCAAACGTACGTTTCTAAAATACGAACGTAAAATATATCGAGAGATATATATTTTTAACAACGTTCCTTCCTCCGATTCTCCCAGATATCTGTGGAGGGATTATCAGAGACGTTAACGGTATCATCTCGTCGCCCAATTTCCCATTCTTCTATCCAAAGAATCAGACCTGCACTTGGTGGATAATTGCCCCTGCCCATCACACGTTGAAACTCACGTTCCTGGATATAAATCTACCCGGTCTTCGACGTTGCAAGATCACGGATCACGTGCAGATCGACGACGTATTCAGGAATTGGAACGACACCAGCGTGCAGAGTGAGTAAGGAATCGTAAAGATAGGACAGATTTGATCTGGAAACGAAATTTCATAAATTTCTATCTTCCCAGAGACCGAAATTGGAACTTACTGCGGTATGACGATACCCGATCCCATCGAAACAGCGACCAACGAAGCTATTATAACGTTCCAAAGCGATAATTTCGAATACACGGTGTACAAGGGATTCAGTATCAGTTTCAACGCTAGTAACGAAAGTATGAATGTCTGATTAATTTATCGTTCGAAAGAAATATATATACATGAATCAATGGGAAAGTGAAATTCATTATGCGTTTATAGTATGCGGGGGCGAGTTAACTGCGATGCAGGGCACGATCAAATCGAATGGGTATCCCAATATCGCTACACGTTCGAGGTACGAGATTGAAAGTTTATGTTATATTATAACTCGATCTTGAAAATTTTCCTTTGTTTTTTTTTTTTTATAGATACTGCGATTGGAGAATCAAATTGCCAAGGGGTTATCACGTGGTCATCGATGTACAAGATTTACCCGAATATCAAGAGAATTCCCCATTATATTATCTAACGGTGATCATCAAAGCTCTAATCTTCTCGCACTTTCCTTTTGATCGCGTCAACTCTTTTTATTATTTCCCTTTCTTCCTAGTTTTACAACGATTTCAACTTCAAGTCTAAAATCAAGATATTAAGACCGAACTCAACCACGAAACGAGTAACCAGTTCTGGTAACACTATGATGATCGGTGCTTACACGTCATCGGGATATCGTGGTTTCAAATTGCGTTACTTTGCCGAGGCACCAGCTCGTACGTTCGTCGAATAAATAATTTCTTCGATTGATGGAATTAATCTTTTCAATAATTTCGATGTTTAATTAATAATTTCCAGCCTGCGGTGGAGAGATAAATGAAATGAAGGGTAATCTGTCAGCTCCGAGAGAGCTACCCTTCAACGAATCGTCGTATTTCTGTCAATGGATAATCAAACCACCGGAAAGTTTGTTAAGCAATAACAATACAGGTGTGACATTGTCAATAATGGTAACAGGTGTGATTGGAGGGATTCGCGGCCTTGCTTTTACCAAGTTTTGCTTCAATAATCAGTACATCTCCTTGAAAGGTAATAAATTATTATGTTATATTCAATAATAATAAAATAACGCAATTTCTTTGGTTATTTTCAAGGTATCGGCATACTTTGCGGAAATTTCACGGAGCCAACGTATCTAAGAAGCCCGGAACTCGTCAACGAATTGAACGTAAGCGTATGCAGATAGAAGAAAAAAATACAACGATTTCGATCGTATTAATATATAAATTTCGTTCGAAATTTTGCAGATAGTGAACGGTACGTATGGAACGTTGATGCGTTTCAGTTTGGAATACAAATGGCAGCCTTGCGGCGGTATTTTTCACGGAATGTCGCACGTGATAAAAGCGCCTAAAAACGTATCGTATCCTATTAATTGCGTCTGGCACGCGAAATATCCGAATAACGAAATAATCAGATTTCATTTCAACCAATTACATTTGGGCAGTTGTGACAAGAATTACTTGAGTATCAGGTAATAAAACAATGTGTATTTTACCTGTACACAAACTCTCTATCCCTGTGACACAATTCTCTTGACAAAAATATAAATTCGTACAAAACTATAATCAGTCTCAGACATTAGACAGATTAATATAAATTTTAAAGATGAAAGGTAAGTCATCCTTTTTAATCCCTTTTCTTCTCAGGAATGGCGGACCTTTTTCACCAGAGATCGGGAAATTCTGCGAAAATTCGCAGTCGTATAATTTCACTAGCACGTTTAACGAAATGTGGATCGAGTTCATGGCAATGGAGGAGCCGACAGATTTCGAGTTCACCCTGGAACCAGCTAATAACGGATGCGGAGGTGCTCTGCGTGGTGATAGTCGAGAGATCTCGTCGCCCAAGTAATTGAAATGACTCGTAATAACCGTTTGCAATGTTTAAACATGTGATTCGCTCATGGTCTTTGATATTTTTCACAGCTTCCCCTCGGCGTATCCCAACAACGCGGAATGCACTTGGGAAATAACCGCGGACAATGGCTACAGCATCGGCCTAGTGTTCGTTGATCGTTACCATTTGGAAAGCAGTACTAATTGCGAGAAGGATTACGTGCAGGTATGATGAGATCGCATGGTAACGAGAGATATTCGTGATCGATTTGCATCGATCAATTTTGTTTCGAGTAAAGACTTTGTCAAATATTGTTTCAATTTCAAAATAACTTAATTCGAAGTAGATAGATATTTAATATATTAGAAAAGTTGATGTTCGTTGTGATAACGAGAGAAATTTTAAGTAGTCAAAGGAATCGTCTTCGTTCGAATTAGATATTCAACTGGATCAAGGAAACGGGCGAATCCGTTGGAACGTGGAAGGATCTCGGAAAGGTGTGCGGTAGACAAACGCCATTGGCATTTAATTCGACGAGCAATCGCATGAAAGTAGTTTTCCATTCGAACGAGGCGATCCAAGGTGACGGATTCCGCGCCGTATGGTTCGAGAATTGCGGTGGAATTTTCGACGTCACCACTCATCCAAAGGTGATCATGTCACCTTCCTATCCGATTTCGTATCCGCCAAATCTCTTTTGCAATTACACTCTCGTGGCGCCAGGCAAAGACATTCTGGTCAAATTTATGGATTTCCAGATCGAGCGTAGTAAGAGGGAATTTGTTTCTCTATGCGCGATTGAAATTGATCGAATGTTAATCGAATGTTTTGTGATTAGGTCGTAGGGGTTGTCGTTACGACAACGTGACGATTAAATATCAAGATGGATACATGAACGAGGAAAGTACATGGTGCGGGGAAGATAAACCACCCTTGATAAGAGCGTCAAACGCGATGGAGATCATATTCAGAAGCGATAATTATCTTGCACGAAGTGGTTTTGAATTCAAATATTTCCTGCATGGTACTCGTCAAAACAATATTATTATAATAAGATTATACTTATGTACTTTGAATAAATGCTATTTATTTTCTTTTTTTCTTTCTTCTTCGTCTCGAAAGAATGCGGAGGATTGTTGACAACGCCAGGAGAGATTAAGCCTTTAATGAATGGCAACCAATACTTCGGAAGATTAGATTGTACGTGGAAAATTCAAGCGCCATCGGATAAGAGCGTCGTCCTTCGTTTCGAGAGTTTCGATATCGAGTTCAATTTCAAGTAAATGATTACATGATTACTCCAATTAAGAAGGAATAATAATAGTTATTTGCAATTGCAACACTTGCCTATTTTGCAGTTGCATATTCGATAATCTTCAGATCTACAATGGATCGGAAACATTGGAGGAAAACAAACTAGCCATGTTATGTGGAAACCTTACGGAAAACTTGCCGGTCATCAAGTCGAATTCTAATTCCATGGTGCTTAAATTCCACACGGATGACAGCCGCCATTCCGTTGGATTTTCCATAAAAGTAAACTTTACGAAGCAACCCTTCCAATTTTCTCCATTTTTTCTGAATTTTAGAAATAAAAAAAATCGATATCCTCCGAAAATTTTAAATATTCCAGGTACAATTCGTGAAGAGCATCAGCGCGGGTTGCGGTGGCAATATTAATTTAACCTCGAGTCAATCGTTCAAGACTCAAACAGGTTCGACGTACGACAGCTTCGAGGATTGTCACTGGATTGTGTCAGCGACTGAGGGGAAGAACATCAAGTTCACGATAAATAGTATGGACGTTAAAAACAGTACCAATCGCACGGGCAACGGATGCACCGGTGATTACATCGAGGTGAAATTTCATTCATCTTGTCCTGTCAGTTTTACTCGTTTCCTATTTCTATTTCTTTCCACGTTGTCCAGATCCGCGATGGAACCGGACCTTTCAGCGAGCTGCTCGGAAGATACTGTGGAAACCAACCTCCATCTCCCATATCATCGAGTTCCAACTCACTTTTGATACGATTTTATAGCGATGGAACGGTGGAAGGAGCTGGAGTCAGTGGAACGTTGGAAGCAGTAGATGGTGATATATAAATCTAATCGTTTATCATTTATTCTTAGATTTTTTTCGCTTTTTTCTTTTTCTCGATTTATTTATCCGCAATAAGGATTGTCTTCATTTGCATTTCATTCAAAATGAATATTTAAAGTGATTAAAGTAAATTCATTTAAGTGAAATTAAGTAACACTTTGAATTTAATCATTGAACAAGTATAAATATTTCACTTTTCTTCTTCTATCTTTCATATGAGAATGGAAAAAGTGTAAATTTGTCTTTAATGAGAGAATAGTGAATGTTTAATTATTCGATTGTTTCAGCACTGTGCACTTATATTTCTCCGATAATAAACGGCTCGGGGAACGTACTAACTTCACCGAATTATCCGAATAATTACGAGCCCGGCACAAAATGTCGTTGGACGATAAAGTTTGTGCACTATTTCGAAAGAATGAGAATAAAATTCTTGGACTTCGATCTAGCTGATTCTCGCGAATGCAAAGACGATTTCCTTCAGATCACAGATAAAGAGGTAATTTACATCGAAGAATTTGATTCGAGGATATTATTACAATTATATGAAACACGTGTTCACACAGAATCGAAAGTACATCGAGCAAGGACTCGGCCAGGACTTAGTTTGGAGTGGAAATTCGGGCAAATCGTATTATTCGGTAACGAAACGTAGAATATCATTCGAGATTTATCATATCTTGCAATTTTAATATGAATGATAAATAATTTACAGAATGAATTCATGCCAAGAACCGCGTACAAATATTGCGGCAACAGTTTGCCTCACGATTACTACAGGTAAACAACGATCGTTTAATTTTTCCGTTAAAATTTTCGAAAAACTTCCTTCTTCTCTTTCCTCGACAGTTACAGCACCGAACTCGACTTAACGTTCAACGGTATTAAACCTGGGCACAAAGGTTTCAAGTTGGAGTACAGCAAGGCGACCTGCGATCGGAATTTCACCGAGTTGCAAGGTCGAATCGTGCACGAGGGTATCGATGACTGTTGGATCACGATCACTGCCCCCGAGAATCACACCATCTCTCTATACTTCAATCAATTCATGCTCTACGATCAAACCGATTGTACGAAAGCTGGACTAAATGCAAGTATCGCTGTAATTTCTAATTTCGCGTAAGAATGCGAATTCGTGTGAAAATTTTTGCTTTCATTCGTTCACTACGTTCACATAGGTGTTCGACGGTGATTTCCATGGTAAACTGATGGCGTCATTGTGCTCCATAGATACGCCAAGTCCTATTTTCAGTACCGGAAATAAACTGAGTTTACGTTCTTGGTCCGAGTGGCATTCTAGCTACGAATACTACGATATCACGTACACCACCACGAACGCAGGTAAGAACGTAGATGAATGTATATCGGAATTGGTCATTCTATGTGAGTAATGTTATTTTAAGAATTTGAACGAAAAAGATAAATGCTTATGCTTATGCTTTTAACCTTATGATATATATATATTTCTTCGCACTTGTTTTCCAATTCTCTTTCGAAAAATATTTTCTATTTTTCCAATCGAAAATACCGCTTTAACTTTTAATTTGCATGATTTCTATTTTCAAGAACGTTGAAACATTTTGTAATAAAAAAGAAATATATATGCGATAATTCATCGATATCGAGTAATATGTTCGATTATAATAATTATTTTGCAATTTCTTAACTACGGTATTTGAGATAACCTAATGTGTGTATAATGATTAACGTCGCGATGTTTGAGAATCGTTGGAGAACAGATAAAGATTTCGTATATGTAGATCATGTGCGTGTGAAGAATAAATACGAACGAATGAAAATAATAAAGAGCGAAGTGAGAAGAATCTGCACTGGAATAATTGTACAATGAGTTTGAAATTCCTTGAAATTGTTGATAAAATGATTCGATAAAATGATCGTACAAACAGGTCGTGGATGTGGCGGCAAAATATTTAATTACGCCGGATCTTTTACATCGCCCATGTACCCCAACGAATATAGGAATAACACGATCTGTACTTGGGATATTATCGTGCCACGTGGACTGAAAGTCGTTCTAACATTCACAGTGTTAGACATTGGCTCGAAGAGCACCTGTAATTACGAATACAATATTGTTTCAATCTACGATGTAACGTCTGATGGAATAGAAGACTTTGCCACCAGTTATTGCGGAGGGGTAAGTCAATATTAGGATGCACGGTCGATCGCAATCGTTAAAAATGCAAAATAAACGAGATAATGATTTTCCTTCTTTTCTACTGGATTACTATTTGCTTCAGGATGACCCAGCACCGTTCATCGCCACCAGCAATCGTTTGATCGTGAAATACACTTCATCCGTGAATAATATCGGAACAGGATGGAAAGCGATTTTTGAGAGTCGAAATAATTAAGAATGAAAAGATTTCTATTTCTGAGTAAGATTCTAAGGACAATTTATAAAAATATTTATTAATATTTATGTATGTATATCTCGAAGATTAACAACATATTTATATTAACCCGCGCTTCAAGCAAGTAAGTAAAATTAAGATTAATTAGACGATTTATTGTCGAAAAATTCGTTATTTGTAAATAACGTAACAAGTATGATTTGATATGCATAGAGATTAAATAAATGAAATTTCGTATAATGCGTGAAATCGTTGGCTCATCATCATGGAAGACTCGAGAAATCGTATCGAGTTGCAATACCAATACCAATCTCTTCGATATATCTTTGAATCATTAATTAAAATACGATGATTCATAATATTTTCTGATTATAAATTTTTCACGCTTCGTTGCACTTCTCATCCCCACAATCCTCTCGCATTTCTTCATCTTGGATCTCTTTCGTTATCGAACAACTTTTTTCGGCTACCGCGTCCACTTCTGAGATCTTCTCTTCAGGCATCACTATTTCCGTTCCCACCTCTTCTTCTTTCCTTTTCTTTGGCACCTCTCGTTTCTTCCTATTCTTCTCGTGATTACCTTTTTCGGACTTTCTCTTGCTCTTCCTCGATTTCGTTTTAATCTCCTCTGTCTCTTCTACTTCCACCGGTTCCTTCTCCACTTCCTCCACCGTCACCTCTTTTTCCTTTTTCTGAAGCTTCTTCCTCTTGCCATCTTTCTTCGTCCTCTCAGACTTGTCCACATTTTTATCCTTCGACTTCTTCTCATTCTTCACATTGTTTCGCTCCTCGACCGTTTCCTCTTTCGCTTTCTCGTCTTTCAATTTCTTCGAATCCTTTTCGTGAACAGCCTGCGACGCCTCGGAATATTTGCTCTTCTTCTTAGACTTCCCCTTCGGGGATTCGTAGCTAGACTTGCTCTTAAAATCGATATTTTCCTTCTCTTTCAATTTCTTGTTCCTCGACTTGTGACCCTTCTCCGACTTCTCGTTCGTTTCTTCCAGATTCTCCGAATAATTTTCCAAATTCTTCTCGTCGGATGCGCTTTCCTTTCCATTCCTTTTCCTCGATTGCAACTTTTTCCTCTCTCCATCCTTCCACCTCTCTTCCCTGAAACATAGCGAATCGGTCGCGACATTCTGCCAGGAAAACTCGATACATTTTCAATGCCGATCACCCGTGACGAAGATAAAACCGAGAGAAAAACTCGAGAGAAAAACAATTGCGTAATTAGAACCGTTACGTCGCGCTCAAACGACGATGCATTCGGCCATGCACTCTTTTAAAACTCACTTCGAATACTCTACATCCCTCTTCTTTTTCTCGTGCCTTTTTTTCGACTGCACCTCTTTGCCCTCCTTGCCAGCCTTCCTCGCGAACACGTCGGATGCGAGAATCGTGACGATCAGTAAAACGGTTAACAATACCCAAATCCTGCGAAGAAACGATTCGCAAATAAAATCAATAACAACCTTCCAACGGTTCACCACTCAAGAAGTTTCAAAATCAAGATCAAAATATTTTGCTTACCGCATGTTTGCTCCGCGCTTGCGTTTAAATTGATAAGTATCGATTCACTTAGGAGGATCGTTTTGTGTGACTATCGAAACCAAGATTCAGCACAACACTGGCTGCCGTTTGCTCGATCCTCTTATATCTTATACGTGTTGATATCTCGATAAACAAGATTGGCTCTCGCCGCAGTGAATGGTCCCCGCGATATCTGATTCGATATCGTCGCGAAATCGATCGCCAATACGTGGACGAATGACACGATGATACTCGATTCGTAACGCGCAATATTCGAAGTTTGAATATTCGAATCTTCTTCCTCGTTCGTCGAATGTAAAGCATTCTCTTCGCCGCGTTCGCGTTCTTGACCTAGAACAGGCCGTTCCTGAAATAGCTGTACCATTCATCTCCCACGCGTGGATCCCCCTTTCCTCGTTTTCTTTCTTTTCCTCTCTTTTTTTCTCTATCCCACGGTGTTCGCCGATATCGTGCACCACGACGAGACGAGATATTTAGGTCGGTACACGTATCTAATCTTTCTGTATCGACGCACTCTGACGTCGGTCGACCACTCACAATTTGATCTTAAACCGTGATAAATATATCGTTATACATAGAAGATAATTATGAGAAATAGCTCGATTTCATTCAACTTTTTCGTATTTAATCGTTAATCGTTATCAAATTTTATACAGCTGGATCATAATGGGTCCAGTAATCAGTTTCTATATGTTCATCTTGCTTCTCGTCTGTTTGTTTTAATGGGATAAACAAATTTTGACAAGATTGATGTTAATCGTTGTTTCTTCAAAGTGCGATTGCGCGATTCTTACGCTTCGTTACGTTTATTACAACGTGGAGGGATATCTTTGGTGAATTTACAACGAACTCGAGCGTGGAAGAAGAAGATTGGTCTTTGTTAAAAGTTCTTGGAAAATGTCGTAAAGTTGGAGTAGTTGAATTTATTGCGGGTGTTACGTGGCATTTTAAATATAAATTGTAGAATTTTTTTTTTCTATTTTGGATTGGTATATATGATATTTAAATAATTGTTTAATTACATTGACGACTAAAAATCTTAGGATAAAATCCTAGTTATTTTATTATACAAAATGTCAAATTCTTTTCTCTGTTGAATTATTCATTATCCAAAAGTTGTAAAAATTATCGTGTTGCACTTTTTAATAAAAAAAATTTCACGAATATTCTAATTTTACAATATATTTTGTAAAATAGATTATCGATATCGAATAAAATAACACGAATGGTATTAGTTTATTAAATTCGTATTTCCAAAGAAACGAAATTTCATATATATCAACATGATAGAACAAACAAATATATCTTTTTTTGATTTAATAATAAAAGATCATAGAAAAAATAAACGTACATAATATAAACGTTTAAATATAAACGTTAAAAAATCATGTATACATTTAATAGTTCATTTTATGATTCTTTTTGTGCATTTAATTCAATTCTGGTTATAAAAGATAAGCAAATATGAAATTTACGAGCTCATAAATCTTGTCAGTTGTCGTCGATCAATTTTTTTAACAGTAAACGAGTTACCTAACACTTTATTTTCTGCAAAATGGCGATAAATACCTGAGACGAATATCATCGAGTGGATAAAGACGTGATATCATCTTTCTTTTTCTGTGCCCATTTATCACGTTCTCTAACTTGTTTGTATCGTCTTTATCATTTGATTGTTTTTAAAAAAAAAAAAAAAAAAAAAAAACATTATTCCTCGAATCCAATGACGTTAAAGTGTATTCATTATATCATCTAAGATTTATCTAAGAATCAACTTTTGATAATTCTGCATAATGCAAACAATTGTTGGTATTAATGTAATTGACAATGTAATGTAAATATAAATGACAAAAAAAATTGTGCACAATTGTGACACAATATAATTTTAAATAAAATTAAATAAAATGAATTAAATAAATGTGAAATTTTGTATCGATACACGTGTAAGGTGTAACAATCAATAATGCTATGCGTTTACTGAAATTATATATGTATCATATATTTTTTTCATTTACTTATATGCATATATTCGTATATCAAGAACTCTGTGGCATAGATTTTGTAGTGGTGATTCGATTACAAAATAATATACGGTTTGCTTGAAAAATGCTCGTGGCTTATAAATATCTTCAGAGAAAAGTATATTGATTCGATTTGAAATTAAACAATTCTGAAATTACAATTTTAGATCGCATCGATGGCACAGAAAAAAAATACGAAAATGCATATACATATGATTAAACACTGATTTAAAATGAAAGAAAAAATTATTATCTTTCTCTTTATGCGCCCAGAGATGTTCATTTTGTACATGTATTTACGCAAAGGATTTTCATTTTCATTTTGAATTTTGCGCAATATACGTATATAATTTTTAGCATAACAACACCGTACATGCTATTAAGTATCCGTGTGTAACTTAAAATATATACTTATAAATAACAAACGAAGAAAAAACATGACTTATCGTTATTTAAACGACGCCAATATAAAAATAATTAAAATTACAATACTTGAAAAAACATTGTCTCTTAATAGTACCTTACACGAATGGAATTATGAAATGTGTTGAAAAAATGAACTCTAGTTCTAATAGATGACCTACGAAAAAATTTTATGTTCATGTAACGTTTCTTTCTTTTTCTTTTTTTTTTTTTTTTTTTTTGGACATTATAGTATATAAATATTCAATTTTTTTTTCAACGAAACATGACTAGTAAATATTAACAATGATATAACAATGAGACTTATTTATCGCAGAATATAAGTACTAAAGTAAGTATATTACGTGTTCTCTTACAATGAATTCAAAAAGAATTGTGACTAAGGCAAGGCATCAATTTTTAGTATAGTATACTTATATAATTCATCTGTCTTTTTCTCTTCATCTTATAAATTTCACTACTTCTATTCTACGGCGTATTTGGATTTTCTCTTTTTCTTTCTTACGCATCTAACAAGTTGATAAAATATCGATTTAATAAGTTAATAAGTTAATAAAATCACCGGCAAAATTGTAGAAAGAAACTAATTATAATAGCTTATTAGATTTTACGAACAATGTGTAGTGCATGCAACAATAATAGCAATAATGAAAAAAAGAAAAAAAAAGGAAAAAAATCGTGAATCCTATGAATTAAACCATTTTTAAAATATTAATTTATATTAGAGAGATATTGAAAAAATAAAGAACACAAAGAGCAACGGCTTCCAAACTTGGACGAGTGTATATCAGAAAGAAATCGATCAGTCTTTTGTTGAAAAATCTTCGAAAATTATTAAAATCAATAATTGAACAAATTTATGGATCCTAATTTTTAGAATTTCACGGAGAGATATTTCTGAAAATGAGAAAAAAAAATACATTAAAAATTGTTAAAAATTGCAGCCTTGAAAACTGTTGCTTTGGTGCTCTACGTTCTATAAGATCCATTCCACCCTGTTAGATGGAAAATAGAGAGAAAAAAGTTTGATCACAGAGACGGCAAGTGGACAAATAATCGTCTCGGATCGTAAGAAATGGAACGCAATCATTATTTTTTTTTTTTTTTTGTGCTTTCACTTCGTTTCACAAACGCAAAAATTGGCGAATAAACGAAGCGTTTTGCTCGTTACCCGAGACTGTCCTCATAAAAATATTCTTTGAAACGTTACAACATTACTTATATTACCCTGAGTGCTATATCAACTCCTCCTCGTTTACACACTACCATCTCTATTTACATAGATATACAAAGAGAGAGAGAGAAAAAAATAAACATTTTCACGTCGAAAACTTATACATATATATATGTATATATAATTTTAGATTGCCTTTTCCTCGAGATCCAAGGAGAAATACTCATAATAGCTGTCACGTAACCCGTGCGCTTTTTCTTTCTTCGTTCAACGAGAGAAATCGATTGTGTTACGCTTCTTCGGACATGTTTGACAGAGATGTGACAATTTTTCCGTTCTTTTGCGGTGATTCGTTTAAAGGCTGAGAGTCTTCTTGTACCGATTGAGGATACTTTTGATCAGGATAATTCCACGGCTGGACATCACCCGTACCAAAGATTTGATAAACGATATAGGTAGCGCACGCGACGCAAGCTGTCACCCCAAATACTTGCCTCCATGCGTCGAGGGCTTGCTGTAAATTGAATTTCCTCGTTACTTTTGAGTAACATTGAACATCGAGTATATTGGGCGAAAAAAGTGGGAAATTTAATGATTATAAATGAAAGATAAGATAATATCAAAGGGAAAAGGGATTCGAATGAACGAAGAATGTAGTTCAATTGAATAAAATATAATAAAATTTTTACTCACGCTTTCTTGGGTGAGGAGGCCAGCTACGATGGGAGATAGGAAACTAGCAGACATATGAATCGTCTGTGCAAACGCCAATATTGGTCCTAATAGCAACGAGCCATGTGATAATTCAGCAAATATCGTTCGCAATATTTAATTAGCCACTTACCAGCAAAATTTGGCGCTATATCGACGATATTTGCCATAGCTCCTGCATAGGCAGCAGTGATAAGAGTGACGGCTACGAACCAGACCACTAAAACGAGGACGATGTCGCAGCCCAGATAGCCAATTAACACCAACATTATACCAGGAGCTACTTGAGCTGCGAAACAATCTTGGCGTTACACGATGTGTTGACGAGGAATATTTTTAGAAAGTTGATTCTAAGGAATACGTACAAGAGGCGGTGAACACTTTTCTGACATTCGTCAACGACAAAATTTGTCGTGTGATCAGAACGTCGGCTATATAGCAGAATGCAACAGAACTGAAATAACTACAGATGAATGGCAAACCAGACAGTACTCCATTCTGAAATAATAATAATAATAAATTATCCTCATCATCGATATAATTTATAAAAAGAAAATACTTGAAAGAACGTTTCAAGCGTGTACCGCTTGGATGCTGAATCCTAGAACTGTTTTCATGTACATTGGTCCAGAGATGATGAATATATAATGCACCCAGATCCTGCCGAACGTGGTTATCCCGATCGACCATGCTGGCCAGGATGTAAGAATGAATCTCCACGGAACTGGCATACTCTTCGAACGAAAAGAAAAAAAAAAAAAAAAAAGAATTAATCAAACATAAAATATTTGATCGATAGAGATTGATTCCTTCACAAAAATAAATAGAATAATTTTCGTTTTCGAGAAAATTGACTACGAAGAATTTTAAAGAGCCTACATCCAACACTTAAAATTTGTATAATTTTAAAATTTAAAATTCTCGTTCCTGTTAAAATTTGATAGGGATTAGAGAAAGAATATTCGAACATCGCCGGTTTACCTCGTCTCTAACTTGATTCCCTACACTTCCTTGAATGTATCGTAGCTCCTGCTGGGATATTCTGGGATGAGAGGCCGGCGTGTCGAAGGCGAAGAAGTACCAGAAAAAGCACCAGATCATACCGATGCTGCCGGTAGTATAAAAGACGGCTCTCCATCCGAAGTGAGCAATGATGAATCCGCACAGTGGATAGGTTAACCCGATGCCAAAGCTGAACCCTGAATATAGATAATCTAGATGTTAGGAGTAGCTCACCCCACAACCCGGAAGGAAGCTGAAACATGATGCTTGTCGAATGGCTTCGCCTTGGCTCGTGTACGATTCATGCGTGGCGACGATCGCTCTTCAGCGGTGGCGTATATTTCACCCTGTAAAGCGATTCAAGTAGTGACTTAGTACGACGGGATGAGGATGAGCGCACGTGAGACGATGCTGTGTCTACAGTGGAACAATGAAACTTCTATACCTGAAACTATATCAAGAGCGCTAACGAACGCCTTCGAACCGACTCACTCCTGAATTTTTTTTTTTCGATTCGTTTCACTTGAATTTATAAATTATCAAAGAGGTTCATGTCTCCATTCGACGTTCTCTATTGCAATTTCGAAAATTTCGATGAATATTACGAGGATGATTCGATAATTATTAAATGCTTTATCGATCATGGTTTTATCACGAGAATACGAAAGAGCAACGTGCTAATTAGTTTGAAGATATATCAAAGGTTACGAATTTATAAGAGATTCTCAGCAAAATATGGAGATAAAATTTAACGATCGTTAGAATCATTAAAAATGTTTTTTGAGAAGAATATAAAAAGACTTATATATAAAGCAAAGAGATTATATTGGGAAATAATATTGTTGTAAAAATTAATAAATTTTCCAATAACATTATGAATAACTATTGAATCACCTTCAGTGCATTATCCACTGATAATAAAGCTGACTCGAGAAAAAACTGGATCATCGCACATGAATCTCTTTGAGGGGTATAATTTTCTCTCTTATCTCAAATCCAGCCTTGATTATTAACATGGTACAGGGTTTCATGACGATAGTAACACATACGAACTCGCATTCCTCTGCTGCTACGTCAATATACCGATCAGAACGAAGTTACATACGATCAATAATAATATAACGCATAATCAGCGAAACAAAAGATCATAAACGATTCGCATAATCGACAATAGCAGAGAGATATTGCACGCACCAAGGCTAGGCCGTCACGACGCGAATGAAAAGGAAACAAAAAAAAAATATATATTTATATAAAAAAAATGTGTGTATACACACGGGTATATAAATATATAAAACAAAATAAAATCATCGTTATTATCATTCGTTTCCGGTAAGTTTGAGTGAGAAGGATGATTATTACATCGGCCGGTTGTGAACAAAGGCGTATACGATAGATTCTCGCTGAGTCGGCAGGACTGACACAGTATAAAATAGATAACAATGAGAAATAACGTGTATACAAAACGTGTTGCTGTCGATTGCCCGGCTGATTCTACCAGCTGGAAGTATACTCGGGCCTTTCTCATGCTGTTGAGCGGTTGCTGATGAGTATACCCCTCGCTCCGGCGAATGCAACCAAGTGGAGCTTAAAAAGCAATCAGAGAAGAAAATGAAAGAACCGTCCTTTTCTCGATCAACAAAATCAACATATAATAATACGTATTATATGCATATGTATATATCTGTTGATCCGTGAATTTTGACTGAAAATAACAAAACCTTTCGTTTATCTTTTTCTCTTTTCTTATAGGATAAAATGTGCTTCTCATTCGAACTTCCGCTTCTCCTATTCTGAAAGAAGCGTCAGACTGTATTAGTCATTATCCATATCGTTGAAACCAAAACAGAAAAAGGGAGAAAAAAAAAAAAGAAAAGGAAGAATGACGATCAGACGGAATTGAAATTAGATTTCTATAGTCTCGTGTATTTCTGGCGGCGTGCGTGTCGAATTTTCGTTACAATGTACAAGAATAGAGTGAGGATGATACTCACCTTGGAAGGAAGACATGAAACGTGACCTCTCCACTGGCGGGATCCAGTGTCCGACAATAGCGTACATCGCGGGCCATGTGAGACCCTAAATGGACACAGGTAACGGACTCGTTTTGAAAGATTAACAATAAGGATTAATATACGTGTATAAAATTTCTTCAATGTCGATTTATTAATTTATTCTTTTTTTTTTCTTTTTAATATCAAGTATACTTACACTCGCGACACCCTGTATACTGCGAAGCGCAATCATGAATCCATAATGAATTCCTGCTGCAGAAGGCATCAATAAACTGCAGATCGCAGTGATCAGTTGTGAACCGCCGAAAACAGCTTTTGTGCCAAAATACTGTGTGAGCACACCACCAACTACTTGTGACAGTATGTAACACCAATAGAATGAACCGCTAATAGCGGATTGTATGGTTGGACTCCAATCAAATTCCCCTTGATCCTGAAGAAAAATAATATTTATATTTGTTTTTTTTTTTTAATTCACATTTGTAGAAATGAGGATTTTTGCAAAAGAAACGGTAAAAATATTCGCAATATATTTTTATTAATATATTTTAACATTTTTTTGTTTTTATTCATCACAATTTTGTTGTTCTTATTCATTATCGATAAAGTAAATTTGTTTCAATTATATATAATTATCAGTAGAAAATTTTTATTCCAAAATATCAAAGAAAAAAATTTACATAATTTTGTTTTATTTATCATCTTTTTTATCTACAAATTATGTAGATAAAGCACATACTATTTATAATTATAATGCTTATCGATAAGAAAAATTATATTTTCAAGAAAGAAGGAAAACATTTCCGCGATTTTGAATTATTTATATATCATTATTTATTAAACAAAATTTTTTTAAAAATTTGTTCGATATTTGTTTCGATCTGATTTTCTGAGAAAAATTAACATTTTACAATATTAACATAATTATTAATTTATTTTTATTAATGGTCTTTTTTCCTATATTATTTCTGTTTTTGATAGGAATTTAATTCAGTTAATATAATTACAAAATATTATTACATAAAAATATAGATATATTTGCAAATTAATCTCTCCTCTTCAATTTTACATTACAGGATTCGTAGAAGTTATTACGACTAAAATTGCAATCTGTGATTTCTATTCAATAATTCCACGTTATGGTTGCATAAGAACGCGCAAACTTCCTAACCACGTCTTAGTAAATCGTAATGTGATCGTGATTTTAATCATCCTATCAGTTTCAGCCCAATGGCGGAAAGAGTTAATGAGTGTCAGGGATTATTAAGTCCTGTTATTAATAAGATTTCATAATCCATAGTTTTCGCCGATCGAGACACGTGACGTTACGTGGACGAGATTTCTAATTACAATCGACTGTAATTGATACGATCTATAAACGTAATCGTGCAACGTCATTATACAAATACCGATGTCCATTGTACACACACCAGAAGAGAAAAATCACAATGTTTTTTACGAATCAGTCCATCAGATATCAATTTTCGAGAAATTGATTGTCCATTACAGAACAGAGAAAAGAAGTCTTATATCTCTTAAGAAACTAACCAGAAGATCGACCAGAAAAAAATTTAATTCAACTTTAAATCGTTGAACAATTTTTATTTTTCGCTTCTGCAAAATGCTATCCATTTCAAATCAACGTACACAATTGTGTGCTTCATCGATTTTACAATTAACACGTCCACGCGATGTCCAGTGCCGCGAGAATCAATAAAATACGCCAAGATCTCTTTTTATTCGTAACCTCACGATCGTCACCGATTTTTACCTCAAGTTTGATCGGCACGCTGTTGTTGATAACCGTTGGTGGTGTTACGTAGCAATGCTGGGACGTCATAGTTACATTGGTGTCCGATGTCATGGATGGGGGTTTCACCATCGCCACCATGGCGATATTGATATCGTTCCTCATCATGAACGAGACCGTGAACCCCGAGAAGGAGAGCATATAGAGCACCACCCTTGCCGGCACCATGTCTGGAAACGCGAACATGTTCTCTGATCGGAGCCACCATCACCTTAAAGCCTATCTATTTGACTTTCACTTTTCTCTTTTTTCTAATGACTCGAATATTTATTTATTTATTTATTTTTTTCGCGATACACTCAATACTGTATTTCTATGCACAAAGATTGTACGATCTTTTACGATTTGATAGTTTGAAGAGTCCTTTACCTCTCAGTTTTCGCAGGCTGCAGGGTGATCGTGTCTTATATATGGTATGATCTTCGTATCTGCGTAATAGATTGATATTTTTATATAGAAACCAAGGAATCAATTGAATTATAGAGAACGAAAAGAAAAGGAGGGCAAAAAATGAAATGAAAAAGTGTCAATCGCGATACGGTTATGCGTCAAATAGGATCAAAGAGAAAACGGATTTGGATTATTGTTACTATACGAACGATCTTAGAACGATTTTTTCTTTTTGATAGATTTTTTTTAACAGAGGAAATATTTATTTTCAATTTACTGGAAACTAATAAGAATCGAAAATAATTATATATATTATTTTTCATTTTTTGTTTGTTAGATTGGAAATAAATCGAGTTTTTTCATATTTCATGTTATATAAAATAATATAATTCTCCTTTTTTTTAAAATATTGTAATAATACTTTGTTTAAAGTTTGCTATTTCTTTGCACAATTATTACTTCGAAAAAATATTTATTTGCAAATGTATCATTTGTGAGGAAACGAACATAACTTTATCTATTTTAAAAAATCTTAATCCTGATTTTTGGACAATCGTAACAAAAAGAAAAAAATTCGTCGACATCTACAGGAGACATTAATCAAGTGAAGAAAAATTTTTCTTAATTCGATGTGTTTGATAGATGATCGTCCGAATCCACTTATTCTTCGATCCTAACTTAAGACTCGATATTCAATAGACGTTTACACTCGACTCCTTTCTTTTATTGTGTTGTTTTCGTGATATAAGTACGTATAAGTCTCAACAACTGTTTAATGACAATATATTCATCTAATCGATATTTATGAGCAATTATGAGCACAGTTGCTGCATCGACGAACAGCCAATTCCTTACCTTTGAGACTCTTCCATCTTTATGCCGGTCGATCGCACTTCCAATCGAAAAAAGAACTAACGAAGCACCTAGGATAGAGAAACAACACGTGAAAAAATTAAATCCAGATAATAAAAGTCTATTATTTTAACATTTATTGCTTTGGACAATTGATAGATGGTTTAAATAAAAAAGAAAAAAAATTATGCGATTTATAAATCACTATGAAACGCTAATAGACATTAATAGGTATCATTACATTATGAATAAATGGCTTTGGCGATTTAATTATTAAGCTCTATGCATTATTATTATCGCAGACATTTGTTATATTATTTAAACAGTCAATTATTAATTTATTCACATGAAACGCAATTCAATGCAATTCTATATATATGGAAGTTTTTATCTATTCTCTTTTATCAATTAACTATAATTGAAACCTCGACACATTTATGTAAAAATGTTGCAATAATGTCACGTATTTTTATGCAACTTCCTTAAATCCATATATTTATCGAGATCGCGCATGCAATGATCAAACATAATTCGACTGTAATCACGCGAATAAACTTTTTAATAGCAATTATTAATCCTAATTAGTTTCTCGTCTATTTCCCTCGCGAGGAATAATAATAAATGTTTTTCACATTGTGTGTTTGTCAACGCCAAATCCTTTTCCCAAAAGATAAAAGATAAAACAAGAAATTATTGGAGGAAATTATATGGATAAGTGGATAAAAAGAGCCAATTTTTCACCAGTTTGCACGTGCGTGACCGTATTAATTTTTCTCAACCCCTCTCTCTCGAATAACGTCTTCTTATTAGAGATCGATGGAGGAATAAAATGTTCAGAATTTAATAGCGGATTCATGGGGGCGTGATGAAATTCCGACACGAAACTCATATAGCATTCAACGATCTTCGTGATCAATTCGCGAAATGTCGAAGCTCATATCGCGGCAAAAGACAAAAAAATGAACGATCTTGCATTCTTTCGACAAGAGAATGCCGTATTGTTTTTTGCAAATTGTATTCCATTCATATGTAGAATAATAAATGGAGAATACGTATTGCAGGAACAATGAGAAAAAAGTTATATGTATTTTTTTATCTGATTGCTTTGCTTACGAGATGTAATAAATTTGTAATTATATTTTCAATAGTGGAATTATATCTTCATTGAACATTTTGACGAGAGTGAAAGTTACAATAAAGTCACTTTCAATTACAGTATCCATTTGTAAAAAAATATATTCCTTTAGGGTCGAGAGTTGCTCTCAACAATTTTTTCGCAAATGGACAACTGTGTCGAGATTGTCCGATAATAACTTTCACTCTCAACATTTTATCTTCTAACGAAAAATAATAAGTCCCAATTCACATCCTTAAATGCATCCATCTAAAATTTTCTTTTGTTTATTATTTGAAGAAACGAGAAAAATAAATTAAAAAAAAATAAAATTAAATATTTATTCATAGAAATATTTGGATATATTCCGGTTGAAGAATTGGACAGGAGTTTCTTTAAAATTCGAGTGAATATCAAAAAATACTTGAATAATAGCTACAAAGACAATGCAATGGAAATATTTAATCATGTCCAAATCTCAAATACTCTCATCAGATACGAATTAATACAATATAAAATTTACAATAAACATATATATTAATTTCTCATATTTTTAAACGTTGAAATCCATTTGTTGTAGTACACTTTGTATATCTTTATCAATAATGATAGAGATATATGAATAATGATAATCAATTTAATTCTTTGTAATCAATTTGAGATAGTCAATTAAACAAAATTAAATTGTAACTTTAAAAAAAAAATATACGTATATAATCGTAAGATAACATGGTGGTTGATTATTGATAGCTAGACCAGTGATATAACGTTATATTATCTGAATAATGCAAGAGCAATTTCTCATTACGACTATTATGACCACTAAAAGGAATAAAATCAGTGAAATTGACATTGTAAGCACTTTCAATATTTGCCCGATCCACTTTTCATGTTTAATTCATTCTGCAAATTCTTTGACGATTAATGTCACGTTGTGTTTGCAATATTTTTCATTGTGTTAATTTAACAGTCACGATGAGTGATAAAATAATTGCAATGCATATTTTTCGATTCGAAAATATATATTTAAATTGAGACGAGTTTCCTCGATTCAAAAATTGCATTGTCATTCAATATTCGTATAAAATATCTTTGCCGTTTGTTTTTACTTATATTTATTCTCTATTCATATAAGAATTACATAATCGAACGTTGATATTAAATCCTCATTACATATATTTTATATTCATTAAACCGATCAGCTTAACTTAATGAATCGATCGTATTTTCATAATTTTACGAAGATCGATTCTGCATCGTGTGAATAATCGTTTCTCGAGTACAAGAATCAATACGATTCTTCGAATTCTTTGTACATTTTTCCTGCATAATTCAGATTATTAGACATATTATTAAGTCATAAAATTTATGACGAATTTTTATTGAAGGTTATTTTTTTTTATTCTAATGTTTACGAAATATTTAGTAGTATTTACGAAATAAAGTATTTTCTGAAAATTATCTATAATATTTCCATTGAAATTTTAATCTTCATTTTTTTCCTGATATTATTTTATCTTTGTGCTACAACAGTTTGATACACGATTTACCACTCCGATTGATTTGAAATTTTTATAAAAATTCATGTATTAAAGTTAATAATGACGAGGCATAAAAGTAAGTATATTAATGCGCATGGAATTCATATATTCGTATAAATAGGCAATGCTTTACATTGCTAATCTTGTATCTATGAAATCTCGTTTTATACATATTTTTCTATATCGCAATCGTACATAATAGGCAAAATAAAAAAAAAAAACAAAATTACAAAATAGATTAACATGTAATTGCATTTTTTATCATAATACAGTAAATATAAAATATAAAAGCGGAAAACATTTTTACTCACAGCGAAGCACGTGGCTAATTCAAGTTTCGCTCTTCCTGATTAAACTCCAATACCAGCGTTTACATCATTCGTCGAATCACGCGAGAACTTTTATGAAAATAACGAATAAATTTCACAATCTTTATTTCCCAAATATCGATAAAATATCACAAGTATACGTGATACGAGTACGAATAAATCAACACTAATTTTTCTTCTTTTTTTTTTTAGAACAAAATAATCAATCACGGATCAAATAATGAAAGGAGAATATTATCGATGAAATATCGAAAAATTTAAAAAAAAAAAAAACGATAACAAATATTATCTCTCGAATAATTACAAGTTTCGAGATTAAATGGAAAGAGATTCGAGTCGAAACGAAGAGCAATGTCGCGTTCGAGTCGATCTGTGGTCGACAACTGATGCCTGAGGAGCAAACCTTTTGATTAAAGTTATTGAAGTTACGGAAGAAATCAACCCGGACGAGGAGAACGGCCGACACTGAAAAGCGGCCGAACCACGAGGCATTGACTATCTTCCAGGCCCCACCACTATCGCGTTTTAATCAGCCGGGTAGGAAGTTCGCAAGGATTGTAAGCATAACCGCGAACGAGGAAACGTGACGGTGACAATGATGGTTCCGGCTATAATATATATTTGCTAATATATCTCGTTTGTGACATAGCGGCGACGCGTCCAGACGCCTCTCCCGACGACCGGATATTATATCAACGTGATCGAATAAACAATGGATGGCATGACAAAGGATAATAGGTGTTAATTGGAGTTCGAAAGCGAGACATATAATCCTCCGAGCTGCTTATTAGTTTTCGTGTATATAGAGGGTTTCATGAAGGGGTGTAACGATGGATCATGTACTTATTCTTTCACAATTTTCATGGTAAATCTTGCTCTCTCGCTAATTTGAACATTTAGACAATCGTTTAGACAGTAGGGTATAAAAGAAACTTTTGTAATTTTTTTCACTTGAAAAAATTGATATAAAATTTATAAAATTATCAAATCGTATAAAATTTATAAAATTAATAATTAATTTTTTTTTAATTGGAATTGTTTGTATCGTGATAAATATTATTTCCGTTTAAAGAATCGCAAAAGACGGTAAAGGAAACTTTTGGTATATTTTTTTTTTTATTTGAAAAAATATAGAGAAAAATTGGCATTGCATCAAACGTGCACAAAATTGCATAAGTTTGTACAATTGATGGATGACGAATGTCTTTTCTTTTTACTGGAATTGTTTTTATTGTGGTTAAGATGAATTCCTTATTCTTATTTTTTATTTCATGAAACAGATACACGTTTCGATTTTGAATTGAATGTAAATTAAAGTTGAAAATCTTATAATATATTTATTATAAGAGTTACTAAACGATTCGAAAAATAATTTCGATTCGATTTCAATTGGGTTTTTTATTTTAGTATTTCACTATAAAAACATTAAATATTAAGTAAAAAACATATTTCTTAAATATAATATTTTAACATAATAACCATTACTTTTTAACATAATAACCATTAAAAAATGATAAGATTATATATATTGAATAATAAAACATTTTCAAATATTTACTTATATATGAGTTTGCTCATAAATCATTAATGAAAATAACAATATAAGCAAAGAAAGAGACTTCCTTGAAATTGTTTGAATTAATTTTTATGCAAATTTTGTTCTTTTTCGTTAATACTCTAATGTTATGAACATCGTTCGCGAAATCGTATGGTCGCCACAATGAAACGAGTCAATTTCCAACAATCGATTAATATCTATTAATGTCTATTAATGTCTATTAATTGCGTGGAAAACGCAATTCGTTTGCTATCTACATTGAATCCATGAACCATGTACAACAGGTGTCACTTGATATTTCATATACGCCATATTGTCTAAGCCTTTATTTGGAAAACTATTATAATTGTAACACGATACGAGATTAATTAAAAGTGTATTATTAGTACTACGTAGATAATGGTAATATTGTATTTATTATCAAATGTTTAGTACATGAGATTGTATGAATCCATAATGAATATTTCTCGATATAGGGGTGATATTTATTTCTATTAATTTTTGTTTTTTTAAGTTTAACTTGGCAAATATTAATTTATGATGACTATTAAAGGCAAATCTAATAATTAGATAAAAGTAACATAAAACTATTTTTAAAATTTGTTCAGTTGTTTGTAATTTTTCGAAAATCGATCTGGATTAATATCGATTATTTCATTGAAAATATTCACAATACAAAATTAATAAAATTTATTTCAATAGAGAATATGAAAAACAAATAATCTTTCTCAATTTTATCGATTTTACATTTATTTGATGGCTAAGCCTTATCGTTGCGTGAAGCGGAAGAAATATGTCTTTTGAATTTTATACTCGGTTATATTAAGCTTAATTATTTCTTAAGTTAAGTTGACCCTATTAAACTGTATAAGCAAGTCGGGTCACACGATTCGCTCGATGGAAATTCTTGAGCCGGCCGGCATCAAATTAAATATGTGATCAATCCTCGTGATATTACTGGTCGCCTTCGATTCTTCAGTTATCTTTATCCTTTTAAGTTTTTCGAAAAATTAAGTATCTATTTGCTTATGTAAAATATTTAATTTAAGATACACGAATTATGGATTCTTCTATTTGATAGATAATATGCTAACAGAAACACTTTCTTCACCTTCTTTCAACTAATTTCACAGACAATTATGCTGGTTTTGTAACTAAAAGAAGGATCTGTAAAAAAAAAAGGAAGGATTATACGAAGGATTATAAGAAATATGTTTAGAAAATAGTTAAGGTTATAGGAGTATTGGAACCAATTATAAATAAAAACCTATACTTCAAATATATACGAAACAACATAGCTATGAACAATCTATAAATGCTGAATTATTTAAAACATCATTCAACATTCAAGAATATAATACGTACCGGCAATTTTGATAATCAGCTATCGATAACTTATTGGCATGTACATTAATAGTTCGTTATAAAGTTATCACAGATTACGTCATTCGAAATATGTATTTTCAATCACTGTACTTTGTTCTATTATCCAATTGCACGATATAGATGAATATCCACGAAATGAAACATCTTCAATGACAACGAATTCTAACCTCGCCGCAACGACGCTTTCTTACAATTTTGAGGTTATGTCCGTTCGAAACGGTGTTCTCTATTACGGATGCAGCACGTGGCCGTGGCCTTCGTTCTCAAAAATGGGAATAGGAGAAAGGAAATGATCGATCGTGACAGTGACTCACCGCCGGTCTGTTTTTGCTTCCGGCAAAGTGTTGCAACGTTCCGGCCCTCACATTTTTCCACAAAAGCACGAGTGCACACTGTGTTTCACGCGTTCATCGACATTCTTTCGTTAACAGAGTAAATCGTGAACTCGTTGTCATTCGAACTGGATCCACAAAACACACGTTCACACAAGAACCACGGAATCACGAGCACTCGATGCTATGGCGTTACGCCGAGGCGCCCTTGCGCTCGTTGCTCCGAGGCGCAATGGTCACGTGACCCAGTGGCAAATACGTTCGCGCGCCGATCGATTCGAAGCCATTGCATCGTCACGCGGCGTCGCGTCATATCTTTTTCTTTATTACTGCTCTTTTAAATTGAATCGTAAAATATCTATAAATATTTTCATTCCTCCTAAATGAGATAGAATATATAGAAAGAAAAAAAAAAATGAAAATTCATTGCACCATTTAACATAAAGTAAAAATGATTTGCAAAAATCGAGTTTTAATAACGTCATATCATGTCATTGTAATAAGTTATATAATTCGGTATAAAATATATGTGAGAAAGTGTGTTCATATATACATTTTAATATCTTTTGTGTTTATTAATTTATTAATAAACTATTAACCATGATAATGCATTTTTCTTCATACTAACGAATCATGAATCATTCGTACATCTACTTTAAATAGGTCAAAGCGGCAAGAAGGTCATATACTTTCACTGCTTCGAACTATTTCAGAATGTATGTATATCAATCGGTCGTTTTATGCCTTGCGTAAACGAGAATTCTGCGTGTTTCCCCCCCCCCCCTTTTTTCTTTTTTTTTCTTTTTTCTTTTTTTTTTTTTTTTCCCACTTGATATTTTTCTAACGTTGGATTCCGCATATTTTAAAGTGGCGTAAACTGTAACCATTAGCATCAATTAAAATTCTCTGAACGAGGCCATTCAGCGTAGAATGAATTTCGCGGTAATAAATGATTGTGCGAAACGCATTACTGGCCAACTTCTCATCGATCTTTCGTTCGATTATAAACTGTCACCAATTGCGAAGTTCACGATCGATCCCTTCCTGAACCTCGTGTACTGTAAATGCAACGTTCGGAATTGCTTTCGGAAAATCCAACATAAATTTCCAATGTCAATGCTAACAAACTCGTCCTAAATGTCGTCATAAACACGATGAGCCATTCGAACAATCCCGCCCATCAACGAAAAAAATCCGCAAAGTGCTGTCCGGCTACGACTCTTCCGCATCACAAGTATTTTCGATATCGTGTTTAAAAATACGATTGAAGTAACGAGCTTTACGATTTTCCCATCCTTCAATCGAGAAAAGAAAACCGTTAACTGCAATTTGAACGCGATTCTAAAGCGAGCAAACAAAAGCCTTTTTTAGGTTATACGTCTACATCTTCCTTATATCTATTCTTAAGGCTTAAACGAATTTCCTCGACCTCAACGTACATAGTGGACGATGATGATTGCGTGAGCCGGGTGAAAAGTGCCTCTTTAGAAAACACAAGTATCTTGGTCCCCAGAGATCGTCAGAGAGATGTTAATCATATCGACAGAAGGATCGATAAAACGGTAACGTATTATCCCCTTCGTATCATTCAAGATCAATCGTCTAGAATTATAATTTTCCTGTTTCACTCGTATCCATAGACTTCTAATACAGGATTTAGTGGTAGAAAATTTTGGAACTGTCATACAAGACCGACAAACGTCTTCGTGCCGGAGAATTCCGTAATTCAAGAGGGTAATTATATTTATGATCCTAATTATTTGCACGCGAAACGAAACAAAGAAGTCTTCTATCTTTCGACACGTATATAACTTTATAGTTATACGTGTATCCCCATCATTTTTTCCTCTCTTTTTTTTCTTCGAACGACCGTGATTATGCGTTTGATCGATTAAAAAAAAAAAAAACGTGATTAAAACGTGATTACATCGTTCGACACGATCCCACATTTTATTAATCACGGATTAATTGTTCATTGGCGGACATTGGACGGCCTCTCGAAGCGGAGAACAAGTTTCTATTTACTCGAGATCGAATCTTTCCGCCTAACTTCTGATTAATTCTGATCGATTAATACTGATTGGCGCAGAAAGCGAGTTGATCGGCGCGTTGACGAAACAAATATACAAGGTTGAATCTCAAATGCAAAAGGCGCAATCCGATTTAAAGAGGAGCGAAGAGCAGATAAGATTGAAGGATCAGGAAATTTACAAGATGAAACGAAAGGTTCGACACATTTATTTCATTTTGTCTCGTCGCGATTCTCCTCGTCCACGCTGCGATCGAAATTTCAAATTCCTTACAGATCAAGGACTGGGAGATCAAGAACAAGAACCAGGAGAGTTTGCGAAAGAAGGAGCAGCAACAGCAACGAGTTCAAGCCGACCAGTCGGAATATCTCTACAGAAGGTGTCTGATGCTCGAGCAGAGGATCTTCGAGATGGAGGTTAATTATAATCAGATCCAGAGTATACGGATTATTATTTTATCAGCGTTCAGAAAGAATTGGAAAATCTTAGAATAGCGGGAAAAATTTCGAAAATTCGAAAAACATTTTTGAAAGAGAAAGTATGATTTTATCTCGCACAATCATAGTAAATTTCATATTCGTATTTCGCAGAAATTCTTGGCCGATTATGGTCTGATCTGGGTTGGCAACTCAACGAACTCCCCGAAGTATCCTGAAACGATCCTCAAGTAAATCGAGTATACGTTACTATTTCAATCCATCGACATCCGATCGAATTAATGATCAGTTAACCGTGCCTTTTAGCAACACCATCGAGACGTATTACGACCAGATTATCGCAAATATCGACCAGCTGAACCTGGCCGCTGGGAAGGGTGAAGTTCACGTGCAACATAACGAAAGAGGGAACGGAGCCTCGTTCAAAGTAAATCTTCCTTCATATTTTCGATTCTTTTTCCCCCTTCCTCCTCTCTCTTTCTCTCTCTTTCTCTGTAATTTTTTTTCGAAAATATGCAATTTATCGTGATTTACGATATGAAAAAATAATTATTTTTAATTTGTTTGTCGAATGTTACGAGATTGATCGTTGCATGCTCTGATGAAACATTGCGTTACGTAATCAGAGGTTTTCTTCATCCACATTGGGCGTTAATGGCCGCGTTACATCGCGATATTCGCACTTGTATCAACGAGGTATATCAATTTTCACTGTCGATCGTTCGGCATGGATGTATTCAAATGTTGACAGTTGACGTTAATCGAAGAAACCGGTTACGAGTGACGAATGACGAGTTACGAGCACGTGGAACGGAGAAAATATATAGTCGTGGCACAATTCCAGCCGTCAATTGAGTCGTGGTTTTTTTTCTCTCTCTCAACTGTTTGTTTTTTTTTTTTTTTACATATATATAAGATAACAGTTAAGCAATTAAAAGTTAACAAAGTTAACATCAAGGCGGTTGATTGATTATTAAAGCAATTGTTTAATAATTGTTTGAAGACTCCCTCTTGCATGTCGCTAAAATTCTACAAAAATGGAATGATAGTTCAAGACGGCCCATTACGATCTTACGAGGATCCAGCCACGACGTCATTTCTTAAGGATATCTTGGACGGCTATTTCCCTTCCGAGCTGCAAGAGGCTTATCCAGAGGGCGTACCTTTTAAGGTGAAACATCAATTTTTACGTTGTGATGAAAGAAGGGGAAAGGGAAATATTGTTTTGCTCATATATTTCGTTATTAGGTGGAAGATCACAGGAGCCAATTGTTCTTGAACACGTCCGAGTTTCCTGGCCAAGGTTACCGATTGGGAAAAGAGAGCCTTGCCAATAACACGATCATCTCTAGATCTCGTAGACCTCCTACCGTTAACCAGAGAATGGCTCGTCGTGGCGCCCCCTCCAGAGATAATCTGACTAATTTCGATCCCAACGCGCAACTTTTGTCCCCCACAGCCAGGTACCAACAATTAAATTCAATAATACAATTTCGATCGTGATCGATGACGAACTTTGAAACTCATTAGCAAGTCCCAAAAAGCGAAAAGTCCCTCGGAAGGCCCCCCGTTGGAGATGTACGTTCTACGTTCTCAGATTTTAGCGTCTCACAATAATATCTGTTCCGATACCCACTTACAATCCCATATCAATGCAGAGTTGGGTTTGAGCACTCGAAAAGATAAAGTAAAGTTTTGTTAATACGATGTTAATATCAATGGAAAAGTAATATTTAATCTTTTAATTGTGTTTGCGTGATATTTCGAATGTTTGTTTCACAAGCGTGAGCCGAATAATAGAAACGGAGAATACGATCCGACGACTCGTGAAAGTGGTGCAAAGTCTAAAGGTGTTATGAGATTTCCAAGTTCTGGTAGATGTTATCACAGCTCCTCCGATAGATCGTCCAAATTATCACCCAAGTAAATCCTGATTAAATCGCGATTAAATTTCTTAGATATCCGTTTATTATTATATCGTTATTGCTTCAGTCGATTGGATGGCGACGATCGATTCAGGCAGCGATCGAGATCTGCAAGTTTACCAAACTCTAGATTTTCTATTAATTCGAGGTCAACACCGAGAGCGAATATTGATGTTAAACAGTATGCAACTCCTCAAATCCAGTCTGGTGTAACGAGGAAGAGTCAACGTTCGACAAGATCCGCTGTACCAGTCAGAAAGAATGCAGTAAGGAAGAGAGAAAGAATATAATTTTTTTTTTTTCGAAACGATACAACTATATTTTATGAGAAATATAATATTTTTTCTTTCTTTCTTTTTTTCTCCGACATTTCAGCCTCCGATTTTACATCAGATCAATGAACCATCGGGAAAAACGGGCGAGCTCCGATTGAAAGTCAGATCTCTGAATGGCGGTACTGTCTATTTGGTGCATGTATCTGCCGACGAACCAATAGCTCGACTTTATCAGTTGTTAGATAAGGCTATGTCAAGAACCGTTCCTCGAGGATACAAAATTGTTCTAAGCGGGTAAAAATTCGTTCACGATTCGTTTATTATATCAAAATTTCATTATTTCTTTCTTCAATATTCATCAAAAATTTGATTGATGAAATATCTGTATTTATCTTTTTTATTCTCAGATATTCACCGAGAAGATTGGAACAATTAGGAATAACTTTAAGAGAAATTGGTATTACTAGGGATAGCGTTTTGCATTTAGTGAACGATTAAATATCAAAAGTATATCTAATGAATCTCCGAATTTATGTTGTTTAAGAAAAAAAAAAAAAAAAAAAAAAAAAATATTGTAAAAATATTATATTTATGGAAAATATACACATTATATATTTACGAAATTTTATCGTTCTATGATAAAAAATTGCAGCTTTGAAATCTTAGTTTACTATGGTTGATAATTGAACTACTTGATAATTTCACAGATGAGATAGGGAATTTTTCTCTTACATATTTAAAGAATAATTTGATTTTCTTGCTATTTTATAATTTTTTAGTTCATATTCGATAATTTATATTTGAACAGTTAATTGCATACTTTAGAAATTTTTTCAGAAATAAAATTACACATATCGAATGAATAGATTTGATAAATAAATCTTCAATAAGGGTGATTTTCAAAATTTTTTTCTATTCCCCTTATTATCAAACTTTTTTTATTTAAATCATCTCACGATAAAGTGCTTTGGATCAAAACTGTCATATAATAGAATATATAATATATATATTGAAGATTAGGATTAATTATATATGTTTATATATAAATAGTTTAAAAAAAAAAAATGATGAAAGCGTTTTAATTAACGTCCCGTATGCCGTATGTAGTCACGTATCAAGAATAAATGATAGATAAGGATAGATAAATAGTGCGAGAAGGATAAGAGATAGGTTAAAAATTGTACATGCAGCGCCATCTGTGTGCCGCAAAGTAAACTACATATAAACAAGGAAAGAGAATAATAGAGAAAGATGGAGATAGACATAGCTTGATTGGTGGCGCCATCTAGCGAGCACCGAAAATATTACTTTAAAGTCGGAAAGATATAGTAAGAATTAGGAAATGGCGCCATCTCGCGAGCACCGAATATACTTTAAAATCGGAAGGGTAGAGTAAGAATTAAAGATTGGCGCCATCTCTTGGGTAATCTTGGAACGATAAATTTTTGATCGTCACGAGATGGCGCTAGTTGTTACTTTGTACCATATATCTATCCTTTTCTCCTATTTTCTCTCTTTCTCTACATAGAGTTTCATTTGCGGCACTCTAGAGATGGCGCTGATTTCATAATTTTTATACTATCTCTGTCCTTCTCTTATTGTTCCTCTCTTTGTCACACTTACTATTTTATACGCTTAAGAGATTCCAATATTATTATTTTATCCTTTTTTTAGCTTATTGACTAGAAATTTTAACGAAGCTTATTCGATCTAAGTTTTATATATCGTAAGTACATATATTATTATAATAATTATGTACTATATAATTATATGTTGTATAAATTAAAAAAATAATTTCAGATAAGATCTGTATATGAAATAAATATATAAAATAGATATATACGTAAGTAATCATGGAAATGAGGAACATTTCTTTTTTTTTTGATATTAATATCTCACAATAAGTGATAGTCCTATAAAATGTTATATTTATCTCGTATGTGATATTAATCTTTGAATCTTAGAGTTGATAATTATTGATTATGCACTTTTTGAGATGGTAGGTAAATGCTTTTGTAATAATGACCACAAATTCTTATCCTCTATCATTACGAAGACAATTTTTATGACCTTAAGGATAATAACTCGCGTAATTTAAATTCCTTCTATCGATCCTTTTTAATAGCTATAAAAAGAAAAATGCTTTAACAATATAAGATTGCATAATTTTTCAATTTTAAGATAGATTAAACGATCCATCTCGTAATGACCTGAAAGTTTTTGAACAATTTAAAGATTTTTAAAAAATTAATTTTAGTTTAAAATTTGTAAAGAATTTAACATTGATTACTTTCCTATGTTCATTATTTTTTTCTGTAATATAAGAATTTAATACTTGTAATATTTTTGTTTTACTAATTTTAAATTATTGTTTTTCAGTTCTTTCCATAATGAAAATGGATAAATTATACTGTCTCACAGGAATATTATGACAGATATTTTTCACAAATGAAAGAAAGATTATGTGTAAATTTATATGAATAAACATAGAGACTAAAGTTTGATTTTTAAAGATATAATTAAATTACTTACATTTTCCTTTCTAATTTTTAGAAAATTCGAAATAATTCTTTACATCAAGACTTACTATCAAAATGTCTTTCACGTTACAAAATTTAAACGTAAATTCCTCGAGCGTTTAGTCAATATAAAAGAGTGAATTTACTTCGATTCGCAACAGGGAGCTTTAAGGAAGCACCGACTGTTCGTGACGTTGATGTCTCATTACTAGTTTTCGACGGAATCTTTAGAAATATATCGATGGTTCCACCTTCGTTATTCGAGAAACGCACCGATAATGGATTATTCAACTGAATTGCAAACTTTCCTGTACATTTGTGACATAAGAAAATTTTCAGTCGTTACCCGACGAGCAAATTGTGTTTAACGAACGTTAAAACGTTCATAGAAAGTTGAATTAAGACGATGAATTTGTTGCTGTTTCAGAAATTGTTCGAAGAAGAGACAAATATTTTGAAATTGCCATGAAATACTTTATATGGTGGCCATGAAATACTTTACATGGTGTTAATTTATTCGCAAATCATTTAGTTTCAAAATAAAAAAATGATAATGGAAAAGATATGGACTGAAGTTTATTTATTAAATTATGAATAATTGAAGTTTGCATTGGACGAAATGAAAAGTAAGTAGAATGAGATTATTCTATCTATGTTACACCTTCATCGCATTTTTTTTTAAATTCCTTTCTTTTATGTATTAAATAATATGGAATTCTTTCTTTTTTATTACATTAATTAACATAAAATTTCTTCTTTTCTTTTAAATAATATGTACATAATATGTATATAGAGTAGTTTTTCAATTATTAAAATTCATTTTGTCTCAATTCACATTGATTCTCACAAGATGGATTCTAATAATTTTCCTGTAGCTGCAACTTTTATCTTCTTTTATTTTATTAACTATATTAAATAATACGAATTCCATTTATTATCTGCTGAACTCTTCATTTATATGAATATATAATACACATAATAAAATATAATATAATTCAAAGTATGTTAATATTCGATACAAAATAATTAAATAATTCATTCAATGATTAATAGGCAATTATTATATTTATAATCAAAATTGTTTCAGAATTTGTAATATCTGATATACGTTATATGCATTTTAGAAATTCTCTAATAATTCATACGAACCTTTATTAAGGAAACGAAAAAATCATCAATTAAAATGATTCGATAATGAAACGACGAAAACAATTTAATAATTATAGGAATGCTGCTCCATATTATTATTGATTATTTTTTATTCGATACTTTTCTTTTTTTTTAATTTTCAGTTGCAAGAATTCCTATTCCCTCCCCGAAAATTTGCCATTTCTCCAATTACAAATCGATAATATAATATCCTTCACGCTCGAGTACACATTATATTGGATCAACGATCGAGAAATATTTAAAACGACCACGATAACAAAATCTCCTGGACCAAATGGCCCGTATTTCACCAGGCGATAATGCAGCAACCTCGTGGAAAGTTAGGATCGGGGTTGGAGCCAGGAGAGAACGTTGGACGTCGAGGAGAGGTTCATCGGCTACCACTTGTCTCCGGAAAAAGATTAAAACCGTGAAAACCGTCCCGTTTCTTCCAACCAAGAAGGTTGGTTGGCCCTCGTTTCGTTGACGATTGACCCTTTCCCCGTTCCTCCAAGAGAAAAAGAAAAAAGAGAGAAAAGGAAGAGGAGGTTCACCCGCGAGGGGGTAAATGTCAAAGTGATAACGACCGATGTAAAAACTCGCCACGATACCCTCACGCTCGATTTACTTGTTCGATTTACTAGGTGGAGCTAGGTTTCCAAGAGAGACATGGATATTCTTTTTTTCTTTTTTTTTTTTTTTTCTTTTTATATCGAAGATAACCACGCTTAAATGGAGTTAAAGCGTGGAAATTTATCCATGCTCGCGGAGTGGGGATGAAGAGGAACGAACTCGGGGGTGCGAACTCGGTCACGAACTCGAGCACGATTGGTTTTCGTTTTGGGACTTCGTTATCGCTTCTCTTCGAGCTCGTGTGAAACGGAGGCACCATTTGCTTTTTCGTGGTTTCGCTCGATCAAGTGGCAATGAAGTAGACAGACACGCAGAAGCTTCAAGGCTTCATCCGATAAAACACGATTTTATTTAATGGTGATTATGGATTAGTAAAGGAGGAGGTGTGGAATCCTTGGTTGGTAAATTGGAAATTGAATCGATAAAATTAATAATTTGGATTTTAATCTTTTTTAATAATTTAAGTGTTGTGATAAATATAACAAGAAAATTGGAAGAAAATAGGCTACATGGATGAATAAAAAATCTAATTGGATAACTTATCCTTTCAAATATTAATTCTAATAAATATTAATTCTTTGGATTTTATACGAATCGAAATATATTTAACTAATTAATTTGAATACCCAAAGAATAGCTATCGAAAGAAGAAGCGATTTATTTAATAATATCAAATTATTTTGATTATTTTTTAATTATTATATTCGATCGAAATTTCACATCGTTTTTGAAATAAAATTTGCTCGAAAACGTAATTGCGGCAATTACTTTCGTGGACATCAAACATATTGTTTGTTAAGAGGCGTTTGATTAAACTTTCGAATAAACGGAACGAATCTGGCCATCTCATTCTCCCCCTGACATTTTTATCGATTAATTCCATCAATCCGTGGGCAAACGGCACCGCTTCAAATGTCACTGCTTCATACCGATCCATCACGAGACCGCGTTTGTCAATCAACGTGAAAATCGATGTCCTACCTTTGGAAAAATCTTTAAATTTAATCATCCAGAATTTTTTCCGAGTGTTATCTCCACCCTCTATCCCATTCATTTACCAGAAAGTTGTCGAGGATGGACTTACTGCCTGGGAGAGAAACTTTTACTCGCCAAGTCTGATTAAACGCCTCGAAAGAAGATTTCCAAGAGAATCCTCGATCTCTGGAGGCAACGAGAAGATAGCAACTGGATCTTGTTAGAACGAAATTCTCGAAAAGATTGGACTGTATCAGGTTATCTGATATAAAT